AAACAATTCTTTTGAATTCTCAGCTTACTGTAATAGAAGAGGACAGAAAATGTGTATACCATGGCAAGGCAAAAACGACCATTTGTGAGGGAGTTAAGGATGCTTGTCAGAGTTTCTGAAATCATTAATCATATTCTCTGGAAGAAAACAGATGGGCTGGTGGCTTGAAAACAGGAAGTGATCAGGCAATCAGAGTTCCAACACCAATAAAAGCAAGCACAAGCCAGGCAATTGGTGGCACGTCTTTAATTCCAGCATTGGAGGGGCAGAGGCAGGTGGATCTCATGAGTTCAAGACCAGCCTGTTCTGCAGAGTGAGTTCTAGGACATTGAAGGCTACAGAGAGAAACCCTGTCTGGAAAAACATACACACATGGCAGACAGGGAGATGGAACAAGTACAATAAGGACATGGGAAGACAGAAATCTGTACCAAAGAAAGTACTTCAGAGTTCAGGATCTTAGTTGTAAAATGGTTCCAAGTATTTGCTTATCAAACTACCAAAAGTGGTCATGCTTAGAAATAACTAAAGTGGAGTGCAGACAAACACTACTGTTGTTGAAATCAGAAAGAAAGATAATGTCAGAGAATTAGTACAGTCCTTGGAGAAAAGTGAGGTCATTTTTGTTTTTGTTTTGTTTTCAATTCTGTAAACCCATTTCCAACCTTGTACCTGCCTGGGATATAGAAGGCATTCAATTACCATTTGTTTGCTGGATGGATGGATGGATGGATGGATGGATGGATGGATGGATGGACAGACGGACGAGCAAACATTAAAACAACAGTATTTTAGACTTCTCTGTCTTCTATGCCTACTGAACCATCACCACCATCAGGTCTTTGCCTCTGGCTTCTTTTACCCTATTTGGTTTTGGTTGAGAAAGGGTCTCACTATGTAGTTGCAGCTAATCTGCTAATTCACTCATAGCCCAGGCTGGGCTGAAATACTGGGAAATCCTCTTACTTCAATCTCCTGTGTATTAGGGTTTTAAGTATATGTTATCATCACTAGTATAGGAAATAATAGGTACTTAACTCTTGGTTTAAGTGAGTGAACGAATACTGAACCACAGAGAATAATGACAAGGGAAGAGAAATGTTAAAAATTGAATTTTAATAGTATTTGTTTAATATAAGCAAATGATGTTGACTTCAAAGTGGAGATATGAAGCCAGGTCTACTGGCACAGGTCTATAATTTCAACACTCAGGAAGCTAAAGCAGGAGGTTCCCATGAGTTCTAGACCAGCCTGGACTACATAATGAGACCATATTTCAAAAACCAAAACAAATATATATCTCCCACACCAAAAAAAAAACAATAAGAGGAGGGTATATGAACTAGGAAATGGTAATTTCTCCACATACCGCCCATTCATAGTCCCCTACTCCTAACAATCTGCCTACCCCTCTCAAGTTTTTCCTCAAGTTTTTCCAGACTTACCTGGCCTTACCTCATTCTCATATTGTCCTCATGCCTAGAAAGCTTCTATGTCCCTTGTGTCATTCAGTCTGCTGCTAGGCTTTGTGATTTTGTCCTTATACACAACATCAACAGTCAGAGCTCTTAAGTATAATTTTTAGCAAGATCAGTACTTACAGGGGCTCCCATTTGACTGCCAAATCAAATGAAAACCTGAGTAATTTTCCATGTCCACCATCCAGCTTTCTGTAGATGGAGGTGTATTCAGTGTACAAAATGCCTTACCTTTTTCAAAGCTTCTGATTACTGTTTTCTCTACCCATCCAGAGCCCGTTTCATCAGAACTCCCTGAAGACTCATTTTCCCTACAGCTCTAATGAAGACAACTGTTCCAGAAACACCTCCCTTCCTTTCCTTCCTCTCTCCTAATTACCAGTCATGAACATTATAGGTATCTTCTTTTCTTGGGTATCGCTCCATGTTACTCTATTAATTCTGTCATGGAATTTCCTCTCAAGTCCCTGTCTTTCTTGTGTCAGTGGCCTGTAGATGGTTGTAAAATTAGCCTTCAGTGTATCCTACACTTGAGTTCACTTATCCCCAACACACACAGTGTACACATTGTGTATGTACATGCATACACATATTGTTTGAGATATTTCACACAGTTTATATAAAAGCCATAGAATTTATTTCTGTCTCTATACATCTCTACTCCCAGTTTCTAGCCTGCATGTCACCTCTACTCTCTTCTCTGAACCTCCTCCCCTCTTAGTATCCTCCATAACCATCTGCAGCCAGTTCCCCTAACTCTATTCCACGAACCTTCAACTTTCTCTTTTTCTGCTGTGCTTTTTGTTTTAATATTTCTGGTGGTCAAATTCAGGTCTTAACACCTGCTGCCTTCTATGTTTTAAAAAGGCTTTAAACTTTTAATTAAATTTATTTATTTTATTGGGGGGACACATGTGCCATTGCTGCTTGTAGAGGTCAGAGGACAACTTCCAGGAGTTGGTTCTCTCCTACTATGTGGATCCTGGAGATTGAACTCGGGTCATCAGGCTTGGCTGCAAATGTGTACCCACTGGGCTGTCTCACTGGCTTTGAAATTTCATTTCAAAGTAATCACACATTCACAAGAGATTACAAAGGGAAGTCCTGTACACTTTCCTCTATCTTTACCTAGTGTGACAACTTGCACAATTACAGTACATCACCAGAATGAAGAAATTATTTTGGTATAGATTATTGACATCATTCACATTTACAAATTTTGTATACATTCATGTTTGTGTATGCCTATGAAATTTTATCATATCTGAAGCCTCACATGATGACTATAATCAAAATACCAAACTATACCATCACATGGCTGTGTCGTGCTACCCCTGTCCTATAACTACTGGCAATAACTAATCTCTTCCCTCTGTAGTTATGATTTTACAATGTTGTATGAATGGAATCATATATATATGCTCAGCATACTTTCCTTGTAATCCTTCCAAATTCTTTGCATATAATAATGGTTGTTTCTTCATATTGATGAATAGTATTCCACTGTTGTGGATTCTGGTTTGTTTAACCATTTACCTGTTAAAGTATGTTTGGATTTTTTCCAGTTAAAGCTATTTTGTGTAAAGATGCTACACACACTCATGTACAAGTTCCTACATGAAAATAAGCCTTAACTTTCTGGAATAAATTGCCCAAGAGTGCAATTGCTAGCTCATATGGCAAGTCTATTTTTAGTTTTGACAGGAACTGCTAAATTATTTTCCAGAGTGGCTATACCATTTTACATTCCCACTAACTAGATATGTGTGATCTAGTCTCCATATCTTCACCAGGAATTATTATCACTGTTTCCTCCTAGCCATCTTGAGAGTTGGCTCGTATATGGTGCTTCTCATCTTTCAGGACCAAAAGAGCTTTTATAGCCTCAATAGAGTCTTTTCTAACCTCACCTGGAGAAGCTCACTTCTCTCCCTTGTGCCATCTCTGGTACTTCATTTATCGTTACATTTTAATAATTTACTGTCAGAGTCTGTGTATTCCCTCTATTCTGAGCTACATACAGACCATGACAGATTTTTCTTGATTCCATTCTGGGCACATAGTGGGTGTTCAGTAAGTGTATGCTAAGTGAAAGGAAGAATGAGTAGAAAGAATGGTAGCCCCTCCCCACTAGAAACATTTGAAAATAGGTATCACGACTTCCTCTGTGTGTCCCAGCAGCAGTTAATAGGGTGTTCTGTTTGTGTAGGTGCTCAATACATGTCTCCTAAACTGTTCAGGTGGCTTATCTTCCCTCTGCACCCATGAGATAAGCACATGAAAGAGAGAATAGACCTTGTATTAAGGATCATATGTCATAAATTTACAATCTTTGCAATCACTCAGCATTCATCTGTGTGATGAAAAATCAAAACAAAATAGTCCTTTAAGCCAAAGAATGCCTCTGTGACCATCATTTCATACCCTGGTTACATATGAATCAGGGAGGGCAGTGTTTTATGTTCCTGAATTCCTTTTGCCATCTCAGAAGGATCTGGGATTTTTCTGTTTTTCTGCACTGGTGTAATTTGACATGTTGATTATGAAAGGGTCATTAGCTTCAACATTTTTGATCACTTTTTGACTCTGTATTTTCTCAACTCTGAAGTCTGTTAATTTGCACTTGTTTATATGTCTCTGTAAGACTTACTCTGGCCCTTGAGGACTGGGATATGTTTTGTCTGGAAAGTAGATTGTAAGCCCCTTGAGAGCAAGGACCTTATAATTCCTAGGAATGCATTCTGGACATTGTCGGTGTTCAATTAATGATAATATTGGAAGCCTGACTAAGGTTACCTGTCACATGAACATTTCCCTCTTCATCTATAAGGCTTCATGCCCTCTGCAAATAGCAGTTAGGCTGATTTGATAGCATTGATTCTATCCAAAATTACACTACTGGCCATTGAAACTTGTTCTTTTGGGTACTTTCAAATTGTAATTTTTGATCAGTTGATACTGTTCTCCTTATAATACCGTGGTTGCATATGCACTGGGGAGGACTGTATTTCAGAACTCTCAAGTCCTTTGCATAATGAAAAGTAAGCTGATACCATCCAGGCTTTCAATCCTTGTGCTTCTTGCCCCCACTGATAATTAGGTGATAAACTCCAAGTGTGATTGCTATCTAAAATTATCAGAAGGAAACTGTCATAACTATTCAATGTATATGTTTTATTTCTCTGGGTTCTAAAATGGAATAAATGTGTATACTATGTCCCATGGTTATGAAAGTTATATAGATATGAAGTGTTCAGTGAAGTCTAGGTTCTGAAATAAAAAGGGCAAATTTGTTCATTGGTGATGGTGGAAGTAGGGGAATTGTTATTACAAGTCAGGTTTATTGAAGTATAATACACATACAGCCAGTTTCACCCTTTAAGGTGGACAGTCTTATGTGATGGACAGGTTACATTACAGTTACTGGATAATTCAGCTATCCCTCCAACACGCTTTACTACCCTGCAAAGCCCTAACTAAAACTCATCTCTTTCTGACGATTTGTGTTCTTCCTCTTTCCAGTGTACTAAAGGAAGTGTACCAGGCCTTCAATCCTAAAGCAGTGGTTTTACAGCTGGGCGCAGATACCATCGCTGGGGATCCCATGTGCTCCTTTAATATGACACCAGTGGGGATCGGCAAGTGTCTGAAGTATGTCCTTCAGTGGCAGTTGGCCACTCTGATTTTAGGAGGAGGTGAGTACAAAGGAAAGTCACCAAGAGAACTTGTCAGTCTCCTCCACATTTCCTAGCATAGAAGATACATAGATTTTCTTGGATTGGGTGGTACTAACCTGTCTATGGCCCAGAAGCCTAAGTCTACAAACTAGATCACCTGTACAGTTGAGCATAGACTCTGGCTCATGTGCAGACACCTTGACATGTGCTTTGACACCTAGGCACTCTGAAGTTTGTTTTAAATCTGAAAGAAAGGTTAAAAGTAGAACACTTGCCTGGCATACACAAGACTCTGTGTTCAAACCTGAGCACTGAATAAAAAAGAAGAAGCTGGGCAGTGGTAGTACACACTTTTAGTTCCAGCACTCAGGAGGCAGAGGCAGGAGGATCTCTGAGTTTGAAGCCAGCCTGGTCTACAGAGTGAGTGCCAGGATAGCCAGGGCTATACAGAGAAATCCTGTCTTGAAAAAGCAAAAAAAAAAACCACACAAAACAAAAAAGAAGAAGAAATTATCTTAGATTATAATAGAGGATGTCATCCCCCAAACACTGTGAACCCTCTTCTGTCAGAGTAGTCATTAATTTTCTCACCATCATGTTTTGGAAACACGCCAATGAAATTCTATCTCTACTCATACATGAATTGATTGAATATCTAAGATGAATTCAAGAATTACTTGTTTCCCCTAAAGCATGATTTTGTTATAATGAAGCAAACTTGAGACATCCATAGTCTCTTGGGCATTCTTGCTTCCCTCATACTGGTATTTACCTTATTTAACTAACAGAATGCTAGGTCTGTTTGATAGAAGCATTTATGCGCTTGGAACTTTGCCCAACCTCAGTCACCTTTATAGGTGCCTTAGCATGGGTCTTCTGTCTCTTTACCAGCCATGGTCTTTATTTCATTGGATCAGTAAATTGGTGTATTAAAATATGGTCAAGTGGAATGAGATTAAAATGCACATATATGTCGCCAGGCATGGCAGCACATGTACTTGGGAAATAGAATCAAGAGGCTTGGGGGTTAAGGGCTATCTTGAGCTACCCAAGACCTTGTCTCAAAAATGTACAAAAAAGTGCTCTTGGCAAAGGACCAAGGTTCAATTCCCAGCCCTCACATGGCAGCTCAACCTTTTGTATCTCCCTCTTTTGGCCTTGGGCACCCAGCATGTACATGGTATGCATGGTGGCAAAATACTCATACATAAAATATTTATAAAGAAATTGAATGCATATATGATGAACAAACTAATAGTTTTATCACTCTCTAGTTAAATCCAAGGCCAGGTAAATTCTGGGAAGGCCTCATGTAAACAGGTGAGCATACAGTACAAATACACCAACCTAGTCCTTTGACATCTTCAAACCCCAGAGGGACCAAAATTAAAACTGATTACAAGAGACACTCTCTTATGAAAAGCTGGCAAGAAATGCATTAAGTTCATCTCCAGAAAAAGATAAAATTGATAAGCATTGCATGGCATATTATTTTCCTTAACAACACTAAGGATGGTAATTATGGTACAGGTCCAACTGGGGGGAAAGACCTTTCTACAATAGACATCTGTGGGAATTTAATGTTTGTCTGAGGCTACAGCCTTCTCTGGGAGAGTCTATTAGCATTATCTCAAGTCCTTTTGCTTTTTTAAACCAAAAGCTTGGCTCTTGAATATGTAAGTATAACTTTTCTTATGCAGTATATGCATTCCTGAAAATGCCTGTGCATAAGTGAAATTTTTGCAAATCAAGTAATATTATATATATATACTAGAGATAGCATTCTCCTTAAATAAAACCTATAGTGATTCTTTTTAAATTAATAACTATGCCAAATAAGTCTGCCTTACAGACTAATTTTCCATGCCAAGGATGTTTAAAGTAATAACCCAACTGTATAGTTGAAATTCTCTGCTCTCATTAACACATAGACAATTAGTGGAGACAGCTGCATTCTCAAGCTTCTCCAGACCAGTCCCACTGAGGCCTGATAGACACTCCAGAAACCCTAGCCTCCCTACCCTTTCAAATAATAGGAAAGCTTAAGAAAAGGGTAATGGCAGGTCCCATTTTATATATGTTAGCCCTGTGTTACATGGAATAGTGCCCTCTATTGCTCTTCAAAGCATATCATTTTGGATGCTAATGTATATGGTTACCCTACCTAAAATAGAGCTGGTTTTATTTCCTCTGGTCTGCTCCAAGGTTAGGAAATCATTCCATTTACCCTTATACTCTTGAAATTTAGCTAAAGGCCAGTGTTCTAATGCTTGCATGGCAAAGCGCACCCATTCAGCACAAAAATATGCTGATTAGTAGCCAGTGTAATATGGCTGCTGGGTGACTGTGACAGGACCTGACATGATGGGTCAGGGTGTCAATCATCAGTCCCTTCCTCGTCTCACTTTCTTTGATCTCTGCCACCAGGCTTGCATTTTGTGGTGGAAAGGAATGCTGATATTAAAAGAAGGAAGTCTGTTTCTGTCAGCACTTTCCTTTTCTTTTTCCTGGATGCCTCTAGGACTAGATCTGCCAATAGCTTTAAAATACAAATCACAGCCAGCAGTCACTTTATAGAATTGTTGCAAAATTCATCTGAGAAACCATCACATCGGGTAGGTCACCTCCAGACATCTGGGTTCCAGGTTCTCTATCTCACTAATGTCTCTTGGTGGAACTGAGGTACTTGACTTCCTTGGGTGCATATTTGCTAGGAGATGAGAGCCTCTTTAATCTATGTTGCCCTTGAAACTCCAAGTTTTACTATGTGCATGATCTGACTGGTTCCCAAAAGTCTACCCACTAAATGATTTACAAATATCATTAAGGATTGTTTAAATAAGATTCTGCAAGTTCGAGTTGTCTTTTTAGGCCTTCTATTAAAACCGTTTTCTCTCCTTCCTTACTCCCTTCCCTCTCCTGTTCTGTTACTATTCTTTCCGTAACTTCACAATTCTTGATGGAGACAGGAGGCTATAACCTTGCCAACACGGCTCGTTGCTGGACATACTTGACCGGGGTCATCCTAGGGAAAACACTATCCTCTGAGATCCCAGATCATGAGGTAAGTAAGGCTCTGACAAGTCCTCTCTTCTTTAAGGGGAAGAGCTGAGTCATTCTACCTAATCAAAATCACGTCCTCACCACTCAATACCGTTTTGTTGAGAGACACTTCAATAACAATAACACACTGTTTTGGCAGAATAGTGGACTCTTGTTCCAAAATAGCCAAGACCTTCTGCCTTTTTTTTTATAAAAGCTCTCAAAGGCCAACCAACTTTAATTTCTCAATTAATTACAGAGACTGTGGGAAGGGGTCACCTGTTCACACAAAGAACTCTTTGGAATACATACTTATTTCCAACCCCTAGCCTCAAAAGGGAAGGGGTTTATTTTTAAATACATAAGCTAGGTTTTGGTCTGTTTTCACAGGTGCCATCGGTGAGATGTGGCATATATTCTTTGGTGGTCATCCTGTTCTCTCAATTGTCTTTGACTAATTTGAAGTACAGGAACAATATATAATCACTAAGAAAGTTAGGTCTGGTGGGTTTCCAGCAATTAGAGGTACAGACATTGGGGCTGGACCATCCAAACTGTGAAACATATCATCTGAACTGTTGCCATTTTCTCTAATCATATGAGATAGACTTTACAGAGATGCCTGTTTTAGTTTTCCCAAAACAAGTACTAAAAGCTGTCTGGGACTTGTGAGTGTGCTGATAATCACTAATTCAAATGTGTACCCCATCTATTCCCACCTACTTCCATCCCTGGCAGGGAGCACGTTATCACTGAGAGGCTAGAGCCACAAACTTGTAACTTAAAATAACAATGCAGTCTGTGAAGCTCTCCTCCAGCTATTTCCCAAAGATGAGGGATAGTGCTTTCCTTGTAATGTTATGATTTCTGCCAAATGTATTGCTGTATACTTGAGAGCATTATGCTTTATGAAGTCACTATTATTTTTTTTAAATTAGAAGTAACTTAAACTAATTTGCTTCCAATTTTCCTCTAACCATAGGTGAGGTATAATATGTAACTCAGAGAAACCACTCAATATGTCTAGAATACAAATAGAAGGCACACTGTAATTTGAGACAATTTGCCAGTGTCAGGGTTAATGGAAGTCTCTTTTCTTGACTTGACTTACCTTTATTCAGTATTTGGAAGCTTAATGAAATATAAAGGTAAGTGCTGTGAACAAATGTAATTGCTGTTATTGCTGTGGGAATATCTCAGATTGCATTGTAATTTAGAGCACTGGGACTCTAAAAACTGATCAAGTTATGTCAGAAAGCAGCCATAAGCTGTAGAAGTCTGAATTGAGAGTGAGTGTTGTATTCCTCAGAAACAAAAGCAATCTAATGATTCATCTGTATTAAAAGAGTGATAAAATTTTAATAAACACGAATATTGCCTTTGGTACCTGGAGAAACTATGTGTGTGAACAGATGTAGGTGTAGCCTTATGGATTGAGATGCTCTGTCTTTATATAGATTCATTCTACAAGATTAAATGAGATGTAAAGTGTGTCAAGTTCCTGAGACACAGTTCACGGCACCTAATAGACATTTCAGAAATGCAAGTTCTTACTTCCCTTTTGCATGTTCCATGCTTCTTATACCCAGACGTTTATGACTCTGTCATTCATAAATTTGTCCAAACCCTTTGTGAATCCCTTCTGTCATATTCTTCTGGTATAAGAGATATGAGTCATCCAAAAAGGAACAAAGGAGAAAATTGAAACGACAGTATTCATGTACAATGAGATGTCATTTTAATGAAAATTGCCAAAAATAGACCACACAGTATGAAGGAATATATAAGTTTGGTGTCACAATACACAATTGCGCACAAATATCCTTGTGGTCTTCTGCAATTAAGTCAACAATTGGTAGATAAAAATATTTTCTGTGTATCAAGTATTTGGTGGGAACCATACTACTCTCAGTGTCTTAAAAGATGCAAAGGTCAGGAAGACCTTATCCCTTATCTCATGTGACTGGAGCAGGAACGTATACCTGGGGAGCTGTGCTGGTACACAGATAATGGTAATGCAGGGGCTCTAAGGCTAGACAGGCAGGCTCATCCAGACCTATAATCTCAGCATTCTGGACACTAAAGCAGAAGGACTGTGGGTTTGAAGCCAGCTTGGGCTACACAGCAAGTTCCAGGCCAGGCTGGGCCTCTTAGGAGAACTCATCTTAGTTTTAAAACAAAAAAGGTGGGGACTGGATAGGTGGCTTAGTGGTCTTAACGACTGAAGACCCAGGTTTGAAGACACCCATGTGGTAGCTTAAAGCCATCTATAACTCCAGTTCCCGGGGATCTGACACATATTTCTGGCCTCCACAGACACCAGACATATCAATGGTGCATAGACATATATGCAAGCAAAATACCCTCACACATAATTTTTTCAGAGTAATGAGAAGATGGTAGAAACAGTGACTATGGAGATGTGCATCAACTATGAAGAGCACAAAGGAGAGCACAAAATACCCTGCCCTCCGGGAGCCAAAAGGGGACTTGAGAAATACAGTCAGCACAGTCACAAGGCCAAGCTATTGCAACAGTCAGCTATGGCCCAGCTGACCTTCTCATTATCTCTGCTCTCATTCTTGGACTTTGTGCTTCCATCTCTTAGGATGATACTCTTCCTCCTCCTCCTCCTCCTCCTCCTCCTCCTCCTCCTCCTCCTCCTCCTCCTCCTCCTCCTCTGCCTCCTCCTCATGCCCTTTTCCCACTTCTGTGCTGTCTTCCTGGGTTTAGCTGCAATCCCCGTGAGTTTCAAAACCCTTTAGCCTAAATAAACCAAGTCTTTTTGAGCTATTCCTTTACTCCCTTATTCATTGAACAGCTATTCACAGAACCCCTACTACTTGCCAGGATGTTTTCAGATCTGAATTCAGGTAATTCACAAACAAAGTAAACCCAGTGTTCTCAAAAATACTGCCCTCTAATTGAGACAACAAAGCAGTGTGTTCAAATCCAGGACAGGCAGGGAGGAAAAGGGAACTCTTTTAACAGACCATTGACCTAAGCTGAGAGTGCTGGTGCACAGTTGTAATCCTAGCACTCAGCAGGCTGGGGCAGGAGGATCACAAGTTCAAGGATAACGTGTTCCAGGACCAACCAGTAAGACCCTGAAACTTTGAGCTGATTATTCCTAATTGATTGAGAGGATGGTCTGTACAATACACAAAGGAGACAGAAATGGTAAAGAACAGTAAGAAATGTACTATGTGTATAACACAGAATATATGAGAGAATAGGAATGCTTGGGGCTTTAGTAGTAACTATGACCAGATATGAAGAGCCTTAAATGCTGCCCAGGTGAACCTGTATATATTTTTCTCTGAAAAAAAAAGATGAATGTGGTTTTTAGAAAACTAACTTGGGGCCAAAGAGATGGTTCAGTGATTTTAAATGCAACGTAAAGCCAGCAATCAGGGAGTTGACATCAGCCTAGGAATTGGGAATCCAGGTTAGACAGGCAAGCATGAAGTCAAGAAGCTTGAGCGAAATGGAGCATGCATGTATGATTGGGCCCTGAAACTCTACCATGGGGAAGCCCAAACATGACCTGAACCCATTAAAGGCCAGTACATGGATAAGTAGCACTATTACTTGGAAAGTAGTCTGTAATCTAGTCCCATGATCTGAGTTTGAGTAAAGCAGTTTTATGGACAGATTGAACATTTATAATCCAAAACCTGAAATCTGAAGTAACTTTTTGAGCGCCAACTTAATACACATAATCATCAGCTTTATTAACAAAAAAATACTCCACCAGACTGCGTTTGATAACATGCTTAGGAAAGTATCTTGTTCGTATTTAAAAATACAAGTACCCATTAAAATAAATTGATTTATATAAATTGATTTTACTAATGTAAAGGTCTTTTGATATAATCCACTGAATTCATATGTATTTTTATGAGTAATAATGTCTTAATACTTAATCTAATTTTTTAACCCATTTACTTATATAGCCTTAAATTTCAAATTTTAATTTAAACTCCTCAGTAAGCAGGCCTTACACAAATTTTGTTAAATTTAGTCTTAAGTTATTTCATTGTACTGATTTTTTGTGCATGGAATATCCTAAGTGGTTTCTAAGTGATTGTTGCCAGAATATAGATCTTAAGTAGAATATTGATCTTGAATAATATAACCATGTTCCTTGCTTTTTCTGTAACTACTTAGCGTGTTCCTTGTACATGAGCATTTCATCCATGAATTTGGAATTTTAAGTTGCCTTATACAGTCTTTATGCCTTTTCTTTCTTCTTTTCTTGTCTTACTGCACCACTGATTGTAACTGTGGGTTAAGAGCATCAGTACACTGTTGAGTGAGAATACTGTCAGCATCCTTACCTTTGCTTGTTCCTATTCAACGAGAGAAAGTAGTTAATTTTTCCCTGTAAAGTGTGATGTTAACCATAGCGTTTTCCCCCCAAGCATATTCTTTATTAAGAAAAGAAAGTTCTCTTTTATTTCTAATTAAAGGTGTTTTTCTCACAAATGAATATGGAATTTTCTTTAATGCTTCCTCTTCATCTACTAAAATACTTCATCTACTAAAATCATCTAGCATCCATCATTGCATTCGAATAGTGACTTGCACTGATTTTTTTCATGTAAAATAACTGCATTCCTGGGATAAGACCTACGTGGTCATGATGTATTTTATCTTGTTTATTTAGTTTGCTGAAATTTGGTCAAGGGTTATTGTGTCTTGATGAGGAATGTTGGCCTGTTGTTTTCTTGCAATGTATTTATCTGGTTTTGATATCAGAACAATAGTTATCTTATAAACATTACTTGGAAAAAACGTCACCTCCTCTTATGCTTTCTGAAAGAGTTTGTATAGGATGGATATGATGGCTTTCTAAACTGTTTAATTGAATTCACTGGTTTTGAAAACCTTTGAGCCTAGACTTTTCATTATGGGAAAGTTTTGATTTGTAATGTTTTATGTCTATTAAGATTGATGATCATTTCTTGATTCCACATTGGTAGTTTGTCTTTCAAGAAATTTATTCCTTTACCCATTACT